GGTAATTAGGAGAATAACAATGACGGCAAAACAAAATAGAATAATCAACAGCAACAACAATATTGATACTAATGGTAGTAATACTAATAAAATTGATAGTAAAACATTTATGATATTAATGATAATAATATCAATAGTAATAATGATAATGATAGTAGTAATATTAATGATAATGATAAAAATAATAGTGATGATAAAAATGACAATAGCAATGATAATAAGGATAAGGATGATAATAATAATGATATTAATGATAAAAGTAATAGTAACAGTAATAATAGTAATGATGATGACGATGATAATGGTAATGATAGTGAAAATAATAATGATAATAATATTAATGACAATAATAATAATAACAACATCATTGATAATAATAAAGGTAATGAAAATGATGATAATAATCGAATGCTAATAATATTGTTATCATTGATATTATCTTAATAACAATACTAATATTTATGATAACACTAGTAACGATTACACTGATATAGTAATATTGATATTAAAGATGATGATGATAATGAAAATGATAATAATGACAATAATGATAATGATGGTGATGATAATGATAAGAATAATGATAATAATGAAAATAATGAAGACTATAATAGTAATAACGACAATGATAATAATGATAATAATAATAATGATAATAATAATAATAATAATAGTAATAATAATAATAATAATAATAATAATAATAATAATAATAATAATAATAATAATAATAATAATAATAATAATAATAATAATAATAATAATAATAACAAAGATCAGAATAATAATGATAACAATGGTAATTATTAAAATTAGTAATAATGCTTGCTTACACTAGTAGTAGTAGCAGAAATTATATAACTACTACTAGTAGTATTAGGAATACTAGTAGCAAGAATGAGAATGGCGATGATAATAATAATAACAATAATAACAACAATGATATCAATATAACTAATGATGATAATAACAACAAGAACAATAACGATGATAATGATAACAATTATGGCAATGATAATGAAAATGTTAATGATAATGATAATGATGGTCATAGGAATGAATGATACTGGCAATAATAATGATGATAATGATAATGATATCAATAATAAGGGTATTAGATAATAATAATGATAACTAATAGAAACAGTGATGATGTTCAATAATATCTATTATGATGATAGATGAAGGAAATAATGGTGATAATAGAAATGACAATAATAATAATGATAATCATTATCATCCTTACCATTCCAACTACCGCTATTATTATCATCATTACCATCATTATAACAATAACAATAAAACGAATAATTAGTAAGAATGATAATGGCAACAACAATTATACTGATAAAATGATAATATCAATGATAATAACAATAGAGATGATGATGCGGAGGAGGAAGACAAAAATGATAATAATAATGACAATGCTAATAAAAACATCAATGATAATAACAATGATAATAATAGTAGTAACTATGATAATGATGATGATAAAAGTAGCAATAATAGTAAAAAGATTTTGATAGCAAAAGAAATGGAATAAGATTAATAAAAAATAATAGCAATGACGAAAATGATAACGACACCAGTAACGATAGTAATGATAATAGTGATAATGATATGATAATAACAGTAATAACAATATCTGAGAAATAGTAATAACCATGATAATGATAACAATTATGATAATAATGCAAATAATAACGATAATGATAATGATGATGATCCTCATCGTGAGGATGATAATGGTAATGAGGATAATACTGATGATGATAATAATGATAAAATTAATATTAATCAAGTAATGAAAATTATGATAATAATAATTGTAATAATAATAATAATAATAATAATAATAATAATAATAATAATAATAATAATAATAATAATAATAATAATAATAATAACAATAACAATAATAATAATAATAATGGTCATTATAATAACACTAATAATAATGATAGCATCAACAATGATAGTAAAAATAGTCATGATGGTAATATCAACAACGCAAATAATAGAAACAAAAATATTAAGAATGATAGTATTAATGATAATAATGATAAAGATGATGATAACAACAATGATAAAGATGATGATGACAACAATGATAATGATGCTAATAATAATGATGCTAATAGCAATAATAATAACATTAATTATAGTAATAATAGTAATAGTAACAATGAGGATGATGATGATGGTGGTGATGATGATAATGATGAATGATAATAATAATGATAATAAAATGTAAGACAAATGATGATAATTATAACATTAATCCTTACCTAGATAATAATGATAATAATGATGATGATAATAATAATGATGATGATAATGATGGTAGTAGTAATAGTAATAACAGTGGTAATAATTAAAATAATAAAAATGATAATAAAAATGATAATAACATTAATGACAATAATAATAATGCTGATTAAAGTAATACTGATGATGATAATGCTAGAAATAACAATAGTGATAATAATAGTAATAA